AAGACCTCTTCGTACATTATGTTCTCCTAGTAGCAGGACACCTATTGCGTAAGTTTTTCAATAAGTAACAGGTGTAGTATTAGGAAAAGAAACACCTCCTCGCACTCATATGATCCTGATACAGATTTGGCAAATTTTTAAATCGAATGAAAGCTTTGAAATAATTCTGACAGTGCTAGAAAAAGACCTCTTCGTACATTATGTTCTCCTAGTAGCACGACATCTTTTGCATAAGTTTTTCGACCAGTATCAGGTGTAGTATTAGGAAAAGAAACACCTCCTCGCACTCATATGATCCTGATACAGAATTGGTAAATTTTTAAATAGAATCAAAGCTTTGAAATAATTCTGACAGAGCTAGAAAAAGACCTCTTCGTACATTATGTTCTCCTAGTAGCACGACACCTTTTGCGTAAGTTTTTCAATAAGTAACAGGTGTAGTATTAGGAAAAGAAACACCTCCTCGCACTCATATGATCCTGATACAGATTTGGCAAATTTTTAAATCGAATAAAAGATTTGAAGTAATTCTGACAGTGCTAGAAAAAGACCTCTTCGTACATTATGTTCTCCTAGTAGCAGGACACCTTTTGCGTAAGTTTTTCAATAAGTAACAGGTGTAGTATTAGGAAAAGAAACACCTCCTCGCACTCATATGATCCTGATACAGATTGGCAAATTTTTAAATCGAATGAAAGCTTTGAAATAATTCTGACAGTGCTAGAAAAAGACCTCTTCGTACATTATGTTCTCCTAGTAGCACGACACCTTTTGCATAAGTTTGTCGACAAGTAACAGGTGTAGTATTAGGAAAAGAAACACCTCCTCGCACTCATATGATCCTGATACAGAATTGGCAAATTTTTAAATCGAATGAAACTTTGAAATAATTCTGACAGATATAGAAAAGTACCTCTTCGTGTATTATGTTCTCCTAGTAGCACGACACCTTCTGCATAAGTTTGTTGACAAGTAACAGGTGTAGTATTAGGAAAAGAAACACCTTCTAGCATTCATATGATCCTGATACAGAATTGGCAAATTTTTAAAGCGAATGAAAGGTTTGAAACAATTCTGACAGACCTAGAAAAGGACCTCTTCGTATATTCATGTTCTCCTAGTAGCACGACACCTTTTGCATAAGTTTGTTGACAAGTAACAGGTGTAGTATTAGGAAAAGAAACACCTCCTCGCACCCATATGATCCTGATATAGAATTGGCAAATTTTTAAAGCGAATGAAAGCTTTGAAATAATTCTGACAGAGCTAGAAAAGACCTCTTCGTATATTATGTTCTCCTAGTAGCACGACACCTTTTGCATAGTTTGTCGACAAGTAACAGGTGTAGTATTAGGAAAAGAAACACCTCCTCGCACTCATATGATCCTGATACAGAATTGGCAAATTTTTAAATCGAATGAAAGCTTTGAAATAATTCTGACAGAGCTAGAAAAAGACCTCTTCGTATATTATGTTCTCCTAGTAGCACGACACCTTTTGCATAAGTTTGTCGACAAGTAACAGGTGTAGTATTAGGAAAAGAAAACCTCCTCGCACTCATATGATCCTGATACAGAATGGGCAAATTTTTAAATCGAATGAAAGCTTTGAAATAATTCTGACAGAGTAGAAAAAGACCTCTTCATATATTATGTTCTCCTAGTAGCACGACACCTTTTGCATAGTTTTGTCGAAAAGTAACAGGTGTAGTATTAGGAAAAGAAACACCTCCTCGCACTCATATGATCCTGATACAGAATTGGCAAATTTTTAAATCGAATGAAAGCTTTGAAATAATTCTGACAGAGATAGAAGTAGACCTCTTCGTATATTATGTTCTCCTAGTAGCACGACACCTTTTGCATAAGTTAGTCGACAAGTAACAGGTGTAGTATTAGGAAAAGAAAGACCTCCTCGCCCTCATATGATCCTGATACAGAATTGGCAAATTTTAAATCGAATGAAAGCTTTGAAATAATTCTGACAGAGATAGAAAAAGACCTCTTCATATATTATGTTCTCCTAGTAGCACGACACCTTTTGCATAGTTTTGTCGAAAAGTAACAGGTGTAGTATTAAGAAAAGAAACACCTCCTCGCACTCATATGATCCTGATACAGAATTGGCAAATTTTTAAATCGAATGAAAGCTTTGAAATAATTCTGACAGAGATAGAAAAAGACCTCTTCATATATTATGTTCTCCTAGTAGCACGACACCTTTTGCATAGTTTTGTCGAAAAGTAACAGGTGTAGTATTAAAAACAGAAACACCTCCTCGCACTCATATGATCCTGATACAGAATTGGCAAATTTTTAAATCGAATGAAAGCTTTGAAATAATTCTGACAGAGATAGAAATAGACCTCTTCGTATATTATGTTCTCCTAGTAGCACGACTCCTTTTGCATTAGTTTGTCGACAAGTAACAGGTGTAGTATTAGGTAAAGAAACACCTCCTCGCACTCATATGATCCTGATACAGAATTGGCAAGTTTTTAAATCGAATGAAGGCTTTGAAATAATTCTGACAGAGCTAGAAAATGACCTCTTCGCATATTATGTTCTCCTAGTAGCACGACAACTTTTGCATAAGTTTTGTCGACAAGTAACAGGTGTAGTATTAGGAAAAGAAACACCTCCTCGCACTCATATGTCCTGATACAGAATTGGCAAATTTTTAAATCGAATGAAAGTTTTGAAATAATTCTGACAGAGCTAGAAAAAAGCCTCTTCGGATATTATGTTCTCCTAATAGCACGACACCCTTTGCATTAGTTTGTCGACAAGTAACAGGTGTAGTATTAGGTAAAGAAACACCTCCTCGCACTCATATGATCCTGATACAGAATTGGCAAGTTTTTAAATCGAATGAAGGCTTTGAAATAATTCTGACAGAGCTAGAAAAAGACCTCTTCGTATATTATGTTCTCCTAGTAGCACGACACCTTTTGCATAAGTTTGTCGACAAGTAACAGGTGTAGTATTAGGAAAAGAAACACCTCCTCGCACTCATATGATCCTGATACAGAATTGGCAAATTTTTAAATCGAATGAAAGCTTTGAAATAATTCTGACAGAGCTAGAAAAAGACCTCTTCGTATATTATGTTCTCCTAGTAGCACGACACCTTTTGCATTTGTTTGTCGACAAGTAACAGGTGGGTATTAGGAAAGGAAACACCTCCTCGCACTCATATGATCCTGATACAGAATTGGCAAATTTTTAAATCGAATGAAAGCTTTGAAATAATTCTGACAGAGCTAGAAAAAGACCTCTTCGAATATTATGTTCTCCTAGTAGCACGACACCTTTTGCATTTGTTTGTCGACAAGTAACAAGTGTAGTATTAGGAAAAGAAGCACCTCCTCGCACTCATATGATCCTGATACAGAATTGGCAAATTTTTAAATCGAATGAAAGCTTTGAAATAATTCTGACAGAGATAGAAAAAGACCTCTTCATATATTGTGTTCTCCTAGTTGCACGACACCTTTTGCATAGTTTTGTCGAAAAGTAACAGGTGTAGTATTAAAAACAGAAACACCTCCTCGCACTCATATGATCCTGATACAGAATTGGCAAATTTTTAAATCGAATGAAAGCTTTGAAATAATTCTGACAGAGATAGAAATAGACCTCTTCGTATATTATGTTCTCCTAGTAGCACGACACCTTTTGCATTAGTTTGTCGACAAGTAACAGGTGTAGTATTAGGAAAAGAAGCACCTCCTCGCACTCATATGATCCTGATACAGAATTGGCAAATTTTTAAATCGAATGAAAGCTTTGAAATAATTCTGACAGAGCTAGAAAAAGACCTCTTCGTATATTATGTTCTCCTAGTAGCACGACACCTTTTGCATTTGTTTGTCGACAAGTAACAGGTGGGTATTAGGAAAGGAAACACCTCCTCGCACTCATATGATCCTGATACAGAATTGGCAAATTTTTAAATCGAATGAAAGCTTTGAAATAATTCTGACAGAGCTAAAAAAAAGACCTCTTCGTAATATTATGTTCTCCTAGTAGCACGACACCTTTTGCATTTGTTTGTCGACAAGTAACAGGTGGGTATTAGGAAAGGAAACACCTCCTCGCACTCATATGATCCTGATACAGAATTGGCAAATTTTAAAGCGAATGAAAGCTTTGAAATAATTCTGACAGAGCTAGAAAAAGACCTCTTCGTATATTATGTTCTCCTAGTAGCACGACACCTTTTGCATTTGTTTGTCGACAAGTAACAGGTGTAGTATTAGGAAAGGAAACACCTCCTCGCACTCATATGATCCTGATACAGAATTGGCAAATTTTAAATCGAATGAAAGCTTTGAAATAATTCTGACAGAGCTAGAAAAAGACCTCTTCGTATATTATGTTCTCCTAGTAGCACGACACCTTTTGCATAAGTTTGTCGACAAGTAACAGGTGTAGTATTAGGAAAAGAAACACCTCCTCGCACTCATATGATCCTGATACAGAATTGGCAAAGTTTTAAAGCGAATGAAAGCTTTGAAATAATTCTGACAGAGCTAGAAAAAGTCCTCTTCGTACATTATGTTCTCCTAGTAGCACGACACCTTTTTCATAAGTTTTTCGACAAGTAACAGGTGTAGTATTAGGAAAATAAACACCTCTTCGCACTCATATGATCCTGATACAGAATTGGCAAATTTTAAATAGAATCAAAGCTTTGAAATAATTCTCACAGAGCTAGAAAAAGACCTCTTCGTAAATTATGTTCTCCTAGTAGCACGACACCTTTTGCATAAGTTTTTCGATAAGTAACAGGTGTAGTATTAGGATAAGAAACACCTCCTCGCACTCATATGATCCTGATACAGAATTGGCACATTTTTAAACCGAATGAAAGCTTTGAAATAATTCTGACAGAGCTAGAAAAAGACCTCTTCGTACATTATGTTCTCCTAGTAGCACGACACCTTTTTCATAAGTTTTTCGACAAGTAACAGGTGTAGTATTAGGAAAAGAAACACCTCTTCGCACTCATATGATCCTGATACAGAATTGGCACATTTTTAAACCGAATGAAAGCTTTGAAATAATTCTGACAGAGCTAGAAAAAGACCTCTAATCTGAGACAATTTTTTTTTCAGGCCTCAAAAAAAGGCAGTGTATACACTTTCTTTTTTACCAAAAACGACTGCACCAAAATTTCTCGGGAAAACTCTTTTTAGTACTAATTTTGGTGCATAGATACCAAAATGAGTCGTACTTTTTCGATTAGGGTGGTAGTTAGGTTAGCTCAAAAATCTGGTATCAGGAGAATATAATGTGCGAGGAGATTGAAAGTTAAAATAAAATTTTAGTGAGGTTAGGTTAGAGTGGTAGTTAGGTTAGCTCAAAAATCTGGTATCAGGAGAATATGATGTGCGAGGAGGTTGAAAGTTAAAATAAAATTCTAGTGAGGTTAGGTTAGAGTGCTAGTTAGGTTAGGTCAGATTAGTTTGGGCGTTTTAAATTTTTTCAATCTTGTATCTAACCTAACTCACATGAACCTTAACTCACAAAAGTCTTTAAAATGATCACCGATTTAAAATTCTTATTTATTGCGGCGTACTCTTATGGCGATTTAACTCGTATATTGCGAACATATACTTTATTAAAATTGTCAAAAAATCTGTACGAACGGCCGTCCCTTCATTCGCCCTGTCCTATGGCAATCCAAAAACGCTGACCCAAAGGAATAGGCTATAATACAGGAGCGAAAAGTTTAATTTTGCGAGTTTCGTGGTTTACTCCTTTGACAGGGGAAGGCACAAATCCCAAAATGTTTATAGCCTTGCCTGAGTTTTTGGTAATATTAAAATAATCCGAATAGAATACATTGTTAGGACATCTGTCGTTATTATTGTGGACTGACATTTTATCGATAAAACCAGGACACTTTGTTTCCAACATTAGTTTAGTTGCAACCTACACCTCAAAGATGTCGCCACTCTACTTGTTTTGTATACTTTATGAAACTAACGTTAGATGTCAGAGCGCTCATTTTAAAAACCATAGACGCTTCCATAGATATATGAAATTTTAACCTCAAAGGCATAAATGAATGTTTGTTTATTTTATAGTCGAAAATTAAACTTTATCATTCCTTTCCCGTTTACAGGTTTAAATTTTGGAACTGGCACCTGGGAATGACAGGAAAGCGGCAGACTCGGGCATTGCGGAAAATGATACTGATCGCTCTGTGTTGTCCGATCGGAAGACTGGTAGTTCTCGATGGGTGAGAAATGTTAGCATTGAATTCGGACAACACAAATTGAAAAGGGAAAGGCTTTGTAACCAAAACAGGAGGACACGTTGAAGCACTCGCAGAAAACCCATTCAAACTTTTCAACGTTAAAATCGGAACGATTACGTGATTGCAGCAGCTGCCGATGGTGTGAAGCTATTCGTTAAACAATTGAGCCTTGAGTTCATTCGACAGAACTAAAGTTATAAAAATGGTAGTGAAATTGGCAGCGAAACGGAGCGAAAGTGTTACGCAGTTTGCAAGCACCCAAAAATGTGTTATTTGTGCGATCTTCGTGTGAAAGTTGTTGTAAAATGGTTCACTTTAATGTACCTGTATTGAAATTGTTCTTACAAATGCTTTAAATAAACTCCTATGCATAAGAAGTTACGATTTCCAAAAACAAATGTTCGTTTTCTGTTAATTGAGCATGATGTGTTGCCTACAAACCAGGCTACACAAATATCGAGTACCCATATTCAAATTTCGGGATTTGCATGCTTATCCCCAATTAAGTACATGAAGGACACCGTAATGAGATAAGTGCTATTGCTACCCACTGCCGAAATGTTACAAAATAGTCACCAAAACGAGCCCCTTTTTGCATAGAGGTTACATATGGAAACATAACTTTCCGACATCTAACGTTAGTTTAATGAACTCAAAGCTCCTGTGTTAAAAAAAAATCTGTTTCGTGCCAGTGGTGACATCTGTCCCTAAGCTTAAACAACTAAAACAATGGTAATAAAGAGGTGCCCTAGATTAATTGGTAACATCCGAGTCTGACTTAATTACGGCAGATGTCAGGACGAAAGTTAACTATCGTAACTATCTCACTGGATAGTTAAAATGTCCCTTTATCGTCTTATACAATAAATAGCAATTATTTACAAAACCAAGTTACATGAAAATTGAGAGGCTAAAAGTATAACACTGTTGTTTTGAGAAGGTCCGAAAAACCACTCCTTTCAAGCACTATAACGCTATCTTCCGCGAGGGGACGACACTCAGAAACCATCACATTTATGCCTTTTCAAATCGACTTTCCGCAGCGTCTTAAAATCGCACCGTTCGCAATGGATGATCGGTGTAATTAAATGGCACTTCTTGTGACACATCAGATTGCTGGCCTTCGCGCAGCTAAAACTGCACATGTCGCACTTGTGTGGCTTCTCGCCGGTGTGCGTTCTGATGTGATCCGTCAGGTTGTAGCTGTTGAACGTTCGATACTCGCACTTCGGGCACTTGAAGTTCTTCTCGCCGGTGTGTCTGTACATGTGCGCCTGCAGGTTGGCCAAAAGGGTCGTGCTGTGGTCGCAGAACGTGCACTTGAAGGGTCGTTCGCCTGTGTGCGCCCGTATGTGCGCGACCAGGGCGGAGTAGCGATTGGTTTTGTAACCGCACCGATCGCACATGTGTCGCTTGTTGAGTAAATCTTTGCGGTGGATGTTGAAGATGTGCTTCTTAAGGGTGGCCTTACGCGCGAAGGACGACTTACACGAGTCGCAAGCGAACGGTTTGACGCCCGTGTGCGAAATTGCGTGCTTTTTTAAACTGGAAGCGTCGCGCGCCGCGTAGTTGCACTTATCACACTTGTACGGTCTTGCGTCCTGGTGCACTAAAACGTGATACTTAAAACACTCCCGATTGTTCGAACCGTAATTGCAGTCTCCACATTGGAAGAGGTGAGGGAACGAGTGTCCCTTACGGTGCACCTGGTACTTCGAATGTTTGTCGGTCTGAAACGGACACTGATCGCAGCTGTGCGTTTTGGCGACTTTGTGCGTTCGAAGGTGCGATTCCCACTTCGATTTCTCCACGTACGCGTTGTCGCACAGCGTGCATTTCACGTAGCTTCGTGCCGCGCTCCCAAACGAACTTTGGGGAATAGCTCGACTGCACGTGTCGCATTTGTTTGAACGAGTCGGAGTCGCTCTCTCGAACTGGGCGTTGCAAATGGGGCAGGTCTGCTTTTGAACTGAACAGGCGGCGACTTCCGTATTGAAAACCATTTCGTCGTCGTCCACCACTTCCAAACATTCCACTTTCACTTTCTCGATGCCGAAATAATCGGGGCCATCCCTAAAAGGTTCAGAGTTAACATGAAAAGTCGTATTTTCTTCACCGACTGCCCCATTGTTTTCCATTTTTGTTGTATTTTTTTTCGAATAATTTGTTAGGTTAGGTCACTAATTTACAGTGCATTTTACATACGCATTGAAACCCCTACAGATAGTAAGGCATATACTTAACTTTTTTCATACAATTCCACATAGGCGTACGCCAATTTTGTGTAATACAGGTTCATTTTATCCAAAGGGATGGGGTTGAAATCAGTTCAATCTGCATTTTCCTACACCTACGTATACTGGGGATGTTCTCCTACAAAGAACTATCGTAATTTCAGGCTAGTTTGTTAGCTGGTGATACCTTAGATGGTCCCTTTTCCAAAATTATGACCTCCCGACACGAAAATTTACAGGCCCGCTGAGGAGTTTCCAAGGATTTAAGGACTTACAGGGGAAGATGTAAACAGTCCTCTTTAAATGAGCAGAGCTTTACTTTTCATCTGAAACACAGCATCCTAACTTTTCGTGGCGTGATGGCGTGTGGAATTCGATCACAACCGCAACGTACACATTTAAATGGATTTTCTCCAGTGCGACTTCCAAAGTGATCTGCTTTTTTTCCGCAGATTAAATCTGTCCTCGACGGATTTACACGAAAGGTCTCGAACGTGTCTCGCCAAATCGGTCATGAGCGAAAACCTCATCCTGCACTTTTCGCATGAGAAGCACTTGGGGTGTATTTCGACGTGGTCTCTCAGTAGCGAGTGCCACCGAGCGCTGAACGTGCACTGGTCACATTTAAACGGCCTGTAGTCCTTAGCATGAACGACGAGGTGTTTCAGAAGAACGTTCTTCTGTTTCGTACGGTACGCACAATCGTGACAGCGGTACACGTGTTTGGACTTTGTTAGTTCGTGTTGATTCACACACGGAGTGCTACATCTAGTATCCTCGTCAATAAAACAACTAGATATTTCCGTATTGAAAGCGATGTCGACATTATTTACAATCTCCAAGTGTTCCGCCTCTTGTTTTATCACATCCCCATCAGTATAGTTGAGAATCTCCTCGAAAGGTAGGGATTTCGCACGGAGTTGGAGTACTAAGCGTTCTGTGCCAACGCATTGCTCCTTGAATGCGTAAGTCGATTTGAGCGACTGGAGGCACTGTTCGCAACAGCAGGGATTGATCGGAATGGTCAAATCCTGAAAAGTGACTGCTATAAGAGGAAAGTGTCGAGTACTCACAATGTCCAAAAGACAGCCCTTGAGGATCTCTTCCTGCTCCTTTAAAGGATGGCATTTTGCATTTGGAGGGATGAGCTTTAAACACAATCTGCACATAATTGAATTTGCATCCATTTTGTTGAAATTTCTTCTGACCACAAGGAAATGATTCAAAAGTTTTAGGTTTTCCGTTGGAGGGAAGATGGCCGACGCAAGTTACAGTGTTGCAGGGTTGAAAAAGGTTGCGTCCAACCTTGCAGAAGTTATATACAGGGTGTAACAGGGTTTGGTTTCGTACCATTTTTTGAACGGCTCTTATTTTAAAAAGGTAAGGGGGCAACGTAAAGGAACTCATAACTTCCAAAAAACAAAGATCTCGAATGAGGAAAGGTAATGAAAGAAATCTAAAAGTAAATTGAATGTTTGTTTTTACTTTAAATTCGTTTGAGTGGCTTTTCACCTGTGTGAATTTTAAGTGTGGGAAGTTTCGCGGACCTGAAATGAACGGCAAGAATGTGCTTCTTCACGTTCGCCTTGCGCGAAAACGTCGCTTTACACTGATCACATAAAAAAGGCCTCATGTTCCTGTGCTTATTTAAATGCGACTTCAAATTTGAAAGCCGCCGAGATTTATAATCGCAACTGTCGCACCTGTACGGCTTGAAATCGGCGTGTATCTTGACGTGCTGGGCGAGGTTGTCTTTGCGATTGGTGCAGTAATTGCAATCGTAACACTGGAAAGGTTTCAGCTGCACGTGCGCCTGAAGATGTGAACGGTGACGGTGCTTGTAGACGGTTACAAACTCGCACTGTTCGCATTTGTACTTTTCCCTGCGGTCGACAACCCTCCTTTTGCGGTTGATCAGCGTATTTACGGGGAAACCACGTCGATTACGCTTGAAGAGTTTGCGTCGACAATCCCGACATCTAAAGAATTTTATGATTATGCGTCGACGACGTAAACGGTTAGGAGCCTCCTCTTTAACATTAGTGGTATTTCCAGTATTCAAATCGACGTCGCCATCCTCTGTGCGTTCCAAATGTTCCGACTTCCCCTTGACATATTCTAAAACATTGTCTGTTGTGATTGGTCCATGCTCATCAGCAAGCTCTTGCAGGAGGCGTTTGGTCGTAAGGAACCGCCGTTTGAACGCGTACATCGACTGAATGTCATCGAAGCATCGTTGGCACGATATGGGCTCAAGGGGAATGTGCAAGTTCTGAAAGTAAATGTTAGTCACATAAAAAGACTTGGAGCTACTCACAAGTTCTGGTAGACAGTCTAAGAGATCCTTTTCTAGGTCTTTCACCAAATGAAGTTCGGAGTTAAGCGGAATAAAGGCCAAACAGAATCGACAAATATTCTTACCTGCTTCCTCCATTTTGTACGAAAACGCAATGAATTTTCTTTCGTGAAGATATCGTTATCTGTCTTTGCATTCATTGCAAAAGGAGATACGTGCAATCGCATGTTGAAAGTAAAAAACAAATTTACAAGTTGCGTTATGTATGCAAATGAATTGAAGTGAGATTAGCTGCAAATGAATTGAAGTGAGATTAGCTGCAAATGAATTGAAGTGAGATTAGCTGCAAATGAATTGAAGCGAGATTAGCTGCAATTGTTTCAACACGTTATGATAACCACTTCCGAATAATGCAATTGCATACAGGATGAGTCAAAAGCATAAAATTTAATTTTTTAAATATTAAAAGCACTTGTAGATGAATCCTGTTAGATAGACAGTGACGGACCACATGCTTGATAGTTTCATCTGCCTCGCAAAAGAACCTACACGTGGTCCCCTACAAGACAAATGTTGCGCAGGTGATAGTTGACCATCCACTGCCCCACGAGGACTCCAGTGATCCTAATCTGGCTTCAAAAGGTAGGCTCGGGCCCCACCACTGCCTTTCCGAGCCAGTTCGTTCTCTTTCACAGTGTTTGGAAGTGGATCTAGTACCAGGACATCCGATGAGCTCATCTATGTCGTCGCAATTGATTGATGATATAATGACCCTGCTTCAGAGCATAAAGCAGAGGATAAAGCTCCCAGTGACTAAGTAAATAGTGCAAGTTCTTTGGATTCTTCAGTTCCTTCACTTTTGTGATTCAGACTACTTAATCTTTTCAATTTTTGGATAAGAACTCCCGATGCTATGTCTTGATATTCTTAAGAACTGTTCAAGCATGACTGATATTCTTCAATTGTTTTTGATTTATAAAATTTTTTACATCCTGAAGATTCCTGGTCCCCTTTGTTTATTAATTGTTTCAATACCTTCTCGGGCAACAAATTCTCCCAATACAAATGCATTCAAAAAGTACAGCCAAAGGACAATATTAACCTGAGATTAATAAACAGTCCTCCTATTGAAACATTTCTCTTGATCCTATGAATATTATATTCTCCTGATGCAAAACCTGTAAAGACTTAAATTAACACTTATCTTCTTATTTCTGTAGTCCATAACCGAGCATTACATTCTCTGTCTATGCTAAATGCAGGAGCTGATTTTACAAGCAACACCTTGTATATAAAATGTGTATTAGCATAAACAATATTATGTATAAATCAAAAAAATGTATTCTATGGCCGAAATGTAAACATAACCTAAGAATCTTAAATCGATCAACCCTTCCTTTTGTCCAAGAAGCCTTTGTTTTCTCTACCTGAAAGTGGCCCTAAATGATTTGTGCATCTGGTCAAACTGCACGATGTTCTCCACAGGTAGGCCTCTCATTCGTCCTAATCATTTTCAATCAAACTGTCATAGTCACCAGCATTATTCACGTCCCACGAATGTACGATGTTGCAGTTGCATCAATTGGGCTTTAGCAACGATGATTACCGATCGAGATACTTCCTCAACGTTTACAGGGGGAATGTGGCCGCTAACGTTTTGAGGTCATTGTAGCGAGTCGAATAAAGTAGATTAGTTTTTGTTTTTTAAAATTTATGTATGGCTTTTTTCCAGTGTGAGTGCAATGTGCATTGATTCTTTTCGTCAGTGTGTTTTTGGCTTTCGAGTCGTTACACTTGCAAGCAACCTTTGGTTTCTTTAAAACAAATTTGAAAAGTCTACTTCTGTGAAGGGTCTTACATTGCACAACCCTGTATATAAAATCAATATGCAACAGTCAACAAATTTAAAACATAACCTCAGAATTCAAAATGTCGAGGTAGATTACATTGCACATTTGTGTTTTTTAAAGTCGAGCTTGTTGATGGTTTTAAAATCGCACCCGTTGCATTCCATCATCGACTTCGTTAGGTGCCGCTTTCGGTGCGTGCTCAACGTCGTCGCCTGAGTGCAAGAGTAATTGCATTCGACGCACTTGTACGGCTTCTCCCCTGTGTGAGTGCGCATGTGCGTCTTTAACGACGCGTTAGTTGTCGCGGCGTACTTGCACTTGTTACACTTGAAGTTCTTTTCGCCCGTATGTCTTCGCATGTGCACGCGTAGGTGCGACTTTTGGGTCGAACGATAATCGCACACGTCGCACTTGAATGGCTTTTCGCCGGTGTGCGAGCGAGTGTGGTCCTTTAGGGCCTGGGAGGAGTCCGTACGGTAATTGCACTGTTCGCATTTGTGCCGTTTTTCCACGGTGCCTTTAAAGTGGACGGCGAGAATGTGCTTTTTCATGTTGGATTTGTTGGAGAAGCTCGTTTTGCAGTGTTCACATGCGAAGGGTTTGATGTTGAGGTGCCTTTTTAAATGCGTGCGCAAGTTGGAACGTTGTCGCGAGGAGTAATTGCATTTGTCACACTTGTAGGGCTTTTCGTGCGAGTGTATACGCATGTGCAATTCTAACATCGCCTTTGTCGACGTTCCAAAATCGCACAGCTGGCACTGATGATTGTGAATCCCGGCGTGCTTCTGCAGGTGGCCCTTTAGCACCGAACGGGCACGCGTGCTGAAATCGCACTGACTACACTGAAATGGCTTTTCTCCCCTGTGAACCATCATGTGATAAATCAACGTGTCCTTGCGATTCGTGGTGTAATCGCAATTTGCGCACTGTAACGGCTTCTCGTTCGCGTGCGACTGCAAGTGCAGCTTGTATTTATCGGGGTGGGCCGTTTTAAACTCGCACTTATCGCACGAGTGGGGTTTTTCCCCTGTATGCACCCGCATATGGGGCACCAATGACGACTTCTTCACGCACGTGTAGCTACAAAGAGTGCACTTGAACGGCTTAACACCCGAGTGGATCTTCTTGTGGGCAGTCAACGTGAAATTATGGGGAGTTGAGTAATCGCAAGTGTCACATTTAAAAACGACGGTCCTCTTGTGCGTTTTCAAATGGGCCAAGATCTTCCGCCGACTATCGCACTTGGAATTGCAAGTAAAACAAACGAACACGGTCTCCTCGTCATTCGAAGCGGTCGGTACATCGTTATTGAAGTCGATCTCCGAGTCGTCGATCACCTCGAGCTCGACCACTTCGGTCTTCACCCGGCTGAGGTTGACGTACTTTACGGCGTCCGCGAATGGTATGGATTTCCGCCTGAGATCTTGGACGAGATCTTCGGTCATGAGACATAGCTGCTTGAAGGAGTACATCGCCTTGATCGACACGAGGCATTCGTCGCAGGAGAGGGGGTTGGCCGGAATCGACAAGTCCTGAAAGATTGTGCTAGTTTCGAACAGAGCGAGTGAGCTACTTACGATCTCCGGCAGGCATTCTAAGAGCTTCCGTTCGAGCTCTTTTAAAATGTGGCGTTTGCCATTAGTTGGAATCAGTTTTAAACAAATCCTACAGAGATTTTTATCTTGTTCTTCTTCCATCTTGTTGTTGTTCGAGTGGGAGTGCCAAGCCACGTCGGGTGTTGTTGCATTTTCTGCTTGGAGTCGTTGAACTCTGGCAATAAATGCAGGTCCGCACGTTTGGTTGCCTGCATTTAGAGACGAAGGAGATCGATTTTATCGATCCATTTCAAAAATCTTCGCTTAAAGACCAAAAACAACCGTCTCGTGTTGTCTTGGGAGCCTTGAGCACATTGTGAACCAAAATTGTGTTCAAATTCATGCTTTCCTGATAGTAATTCTTGCAGCAGAATTGAGTATCAGGAGCACATCAGGACTACAAACAAACTCCAAACTGATTGTAAAATCCCTTGCGGTAGTAATAGGTTCTTTTAGTCGTATCAGCAATCTGGAAACGTAGGTAGTATTAGGAGAACAGAAGCGCAGTCTTTGTGGTATAGCACGTCCTATGTGCTTTCTGATTTCTTTACGTTCTAAAAGGATCACGGACCGAATTTATACTTTCCCGATAGCAATTCTTGAAGCAGTATCAGGAGCACAGCATTACGATCTACGTTTTCGCAAAAGATAAGATACCTTTGACCGGCTGGCTGGCTGGCAGCAGATGCAGGCTCGGCTCGTAGAAGAACGGTTGTAGAAAGACGAGGAGTGTGCGTGTACCTATCGGCGCCGTGTAATTAACAACTGTAGAAATGGGGCTACATGATGTGGGGTCAAAACTTCAAAGGCGAATTGCGGATAAACCGGACGTTGGAAGTGGGTACCGACAAAGGGACAAGTTCTTATTCATGGCGGAGTCAAAACTAGTTTATAGAATACTGATCTGCCATACAAAAATGTTCTGAAGTCTCACACGAGGACTGTGATAATTTTTTGGCCGTGGGTAAAAGTCGTTTGCCGCCGTGGACGTAGAGGGGCGAGTCTGCGGAAGGGTCCAAGTTATGCCGAACTCGCCGATTACTGAGCGAAAAAAATGCGGGTCGATTTCGTTGCGAGACATGCAGACATGAATGTATCAGGAGCACAGCGCTAAATATACCCCCCTCGGCCGCCGCCGATGGTTTTCTAAACTTTTAGAAGGAAATTAGATAGTTTTTCCTACAAAATGTTAACTCGTACTGACGACGATTAATATTTTGAAGGGAGTATACATCACCAGGGTGCGTGGGGGGTAGAAATATCCCCCAGGCAAAAGAAACTTCGACTGCTCTTCCTCGAGAATGATGACAAAGACTGATTGAAAATGTCTTGGGGGGTGGGGGGGATGCAACACAGGATAATACCCGAAAGTCTTTTCCCTGGGGGGGGGGTATTCCATACCTCCTACACTCCCGGTGGGTAGATATTTTCGTGGTTGCAAAACGTTTAGAAAGAGCTTCGATAGATTTTCATCAAATGATGACACGTACTGGCGGGTGTGAATATTTTGAAGGGAGTATACATCATGGGGGGGGGGGGGGGGGTACGGAATATCCCCCAGGCAACAGAAACTTCGATCGCTCTTCCTCGAGAATGATGATGGCACAAACGGACTGTAAATGTCTTGGGGAGAGGATGCATCACCTGGTAAGACTCGAAGTCTTTTCACCTGGGGGGTAATTCCATACCCCCCCCCCCGGACCCCCGGTGGTAAGTATGTTCGTGTTTCAAAACGTTTACAAAGACTTCGATGGTTTTTTGTGACCAAATCGATACACGTACTGGCGGGTGTTAATAATTTGAAGGGAGTATACATCAAATCGGGGGGGGGGGGGGGCGGAAAGTATTTCCCTGGGGGGGTATTTCATAACCCAGATCGCGGAATAAGCATGCATAAAGAAAGGGCCGGTGCGTTGCAGTGACTTACCCCTTCGAATTAACCACTCCTGATAGCATTCTGAAACAGTAATAACCGTACAGGAGCACAGCAACCAAACTGCAAACTGCTTTTCATATCATAATATAGAACTTGGATACGGCAATAGTGCGTCCTGATTTCTTTTGTTTTCTCAAGAATCGCAGAATCAGGAGCACAGCGAAAGTAAGAGAGGTGCGTTGCAAACGACTTACCCGTCCGAATTTATTCTTTCCTGGTACTAATTCTTGAAGCAGACTAGTGATTCAGGACTACAAACTGCCAATTGATAAAATCTCTTGCGGTAATTACAGGTTCCTCAAATCAGATCAACGACCAGGAAATAGTAGTAACAGGAGAACAGAAACGCGGTCCTTGTCGAATGGAATGGCCAAAGTGCTTCCGGATTTTTTCATACTTTCCTGATGACACTCCTGTAAATAAAAACATCTATCAGGACCCCAGCGCCGCAAACAGCTACAAGATTTTTTTTAATAAAATTGTACTAGGAGAATAGAAGAGGAAACCCCACCTCACTCCGCGTTTTATGTTTTCCTGGTTCCACCTGCAATTTGTATTAGTGACGTAGAAGTAAAACATTTTGTTGCATATCTTCCTGACCTGTCTTGGCAAAGCGTTCCTCAAAATGTATTAGGAGCCCAGCCCAACTTAAACTGTATGTCCCTATATCTTGTTATAATAAATTACTAATTATATCAGGCGTTTTATAACAGTAGTTGTAAAAGTGCGTTTTAGTTTCTTTTATTGTCAAGCAATAATTAATTAGCAACGGAAGTATGCTGGAGTGAAAAAACCTGCGCCTGTCACTGCACGAAGGTAAGTGGTGATGGAAAAATAGCGTGACACCTCCTACGGTAACGTAGTACTTATGTACGGTATTCCTGAATCAAATTTCTCTTGCAGAAATTATTGTATCAGGAGCACAGGGTTGCAAGAAGATGAAAATTTGAACTAATTTTTCTTCACAATAATTACCTATTGTATCAGGAGCATTGAATTTGTGACCGCTTTGGTGAAGTATAAACGATCTGAAAGCATGTCCACTGTCGAGAACTTTCGATTGAATACCATGTTTTGCTTCTGGAATCCTGATCCACCTTGCACTTTTTCCGGAGAAAATGATTTTTTTTCCAAAACGCGTTTGCGTCTACTGCTTCTTGTAAAGTAAACGTAATTTTCCCTCTCTCTCACTCCCATAACGGAATTGGCGTGTATACAGTTGGTTTGCTTCAGAGCCGCGGGCAACTTTCAGTATCGCGCTGCTCTCTCGTGCCTGCCTCCATAAATTCCATTATTTTGTTATAAATGAGATATCGACCGGTCGTCTTCCTGAACTTATAGCACTTGGTGGGAATAATATTCGAACAGTTTTCCGCCGAAGCCACATCGAAACTCCTTTCGAGCGATAATTACAACTTTAATGCACGTAACCTTCGTTTCAGTCCAAGTTTTTTAAAGGGAAAAAGATTTTCGTATGCCGATATCCCGGGTGCAAAATGAATATCTATTTGTCAATATTTAACGGCGCCTTACATTTTAAACCACCCTGTACATCAATTTCGGTCTTCGCACATTACCAAAATCAGGAGTGTAAAAGCTCGGTATGGCATGTTAATGGTATACCAGGAGAACAGAACACGAAGTTCGCAAAACAATCTCTAAATAATCACCTCCTTACGAGGAGAACACAACACGCGAAAAGGTGTCTGAATCATTCGTTTCCAATTTACACCGTTTCTGCGTTCCTGATACAGTAATTTTCAAAAGAGAATGTGATAATAGGAGAGTACAGTAGATGAGAAGATGGCTATGACTAAATTATTCGCTCTTTACAGCTTGTTATGTTTCTGTAATCCTGATATCAGGAGCACAGAAGTGTAAAACGGCGTAGATGCATTCTGTAGTGCCTCCTTATGTAATTCGCCCAAAGTGCTATTTTTAGCTTCCAGAAACTTTAACAAATAACAGGAGTGCAGAGGTGCGCCGTGTCTTTGACGTGTCTCCTCTCATTTTCGAAGTCAAAACCCACTTAAAACAAATAAATGTATTAGGGGGTCAGAACGGAAAGGAGCTTTAAGTAGATTAAAGGGTGCTGTCCGTGCAACGTAACGGCTTTAGTCTCACAGAAACATTCCACAAACATCACTAACAGGAGCACAGAGAGGCATAGTGCACCATTTCGCAGTTGAAATGGTGGTGGCTGTTGACTTTTAAAATCTCCCACAAAAATCCCTATGTCAGGAGCACAGGAGGGCAAAGTGTCCTCGTATCACCCATTGAAATGCAAACGTCCCCAAAGCGATCAAATGTATCAGGAGAACAAGAGTCAGAAACTTTAAATGAAAAAAGATATTACTATATACGCACTCGGAAGGTTATCGCTTTCAAAATCACCCAAAAAGGTTGCTGCACCAGAGAGATTCCCCCACTCTAATGGTATTTATCACTCAGAATCTTCCACCAAAATCAATATACCAGGAACACAGGGATGTAGGCCTGCCTAAATGGATCCCTAGGTATTTCCTCATCAGGAGCACAGGAGAGAAAGAAGCTTTGTATGAATTAAAGCTTTTTTTAAAATCTTCCACAAAAATCACTGTATCAGGAGCACATAAGTTCAAAAGTACGTCCTCACGTCATACATTCCTTGGAACTTAAGACGTGCTTAGAATAATCGGTTACACCAGGAGCGCAGGAAAGAAAGAAACTGTGCGGATTCATATTTATAATTTTCCACAAAAGTTCCTATATTAGGAGCATATGAGTGCAACGTAGAGTAAATGGCATTTAAGACGTGCTTAGAATAACCTGCTGTAGCAGGAGCACAGGAAAGAGTGAAATTCTGTGTGGATGAACATTTTTTAAATACTTCCACAAAAGTTACTATATCAGGAGCACATGAGTGCAGCGCAGGGTAAATGGATCACGTCATGCATTCCTTGGACTACGACGTGCTTACTGTTGCACCAGGAGCACAGGAAAGAAGCCCGGGATTAAAACTGCTACACACGTACTCTATAGCTTTAGGAATTCTTCTAGAACACATGAGTGCAATTTAGAGTAAATTGTTTCTAAAGTACCTCCTCACGTCATACGTCCCTAACTTGAAGAATGCTGACAATAATGTGTTCTATCAGGAGCACAACTGCGCGTTGATTAAAATTTGGTTAGAATCTTTCAGAAAAAAGTCAGTATATCAGGAGCATAATGCATGCGCAGGAAAGAGAAGAACTCTGTGCGGATCAATTTCTTTTCAATCTTCCACAAAAGTCATTGTATCAGGGGACACACGAGTGCAATGCAGTTGCATAGATTCTAAAGTATTCTATTAATTTAAAACGGGCTTGGGAAAGAAAAGAGCGAAACTCTTTGCGGATTAAATATTGCACAATAGTCACTATATTAGGAGCACATGAGTGTAATTTAGCGTAAATTGATTCTAAAATCTCCTCACGTAATAAGTTCCTTGGTGTTTGAGATACGATTACAATGATCTGTTTTATCAGGAGTTCAGAAAATAAATAAACTGCGTACCGTTTAAAATGTGCTTAACATATTCCGCAAAAGTCACTATATCAGGAGCACATTAGTGTAATTTAGCGTAAATGGATTCCAAAGTATCCTGTACATCATACATTCCTTGAAATTTAGGGCGTGCTTGTAATAATCTGTTTTATCAGGAGCACAGGAGATAAAAATCTGCGCTTAAAAAAAAATGCTTAAAATCTTCCATAAAAGTCACTGTATCAGGAGCGCATGAGTGCAATGTAGCTAAATAGATTCTAAAGTACTTTATCTATTAATTTAAAACGTACTTAGAATAATCCGTTTTGCCAGAAGCACAGGAAAGATAGAAACTGTGCGGATTACATTTTTTAGCATGTTTCACAAACGTCACTATATTAGGAGCACATGAGTGCATTTTAGTAAATTGATTCTAAAATATCTCGTCACGTAATAAGTTCATGGATATATAAGACGTACTTACAATAATATGTTTTATTAGGAGCACACGAGATTAGAAAAATGAATGTCGATTAAAATTGATAGGAGCAGGCGTGCATAAATGGATTCTAAAGTAAGTGTTAAGTAAGGAGTCACTATATGAGGAGTAATGAGCGCAATGGAGCGTCACTGGAATCTAAAGTGTGACATGAAGTTTAAGATGTGCTTGCTATAACTTGTTGTACAGGACCACAGAAGATGAAGCAGCTCTGTGTGGATTAAAATGGATAAAAATCAGGAGCACATGAGTGCAGTGTAGCAATATAGATTCCAAGGTACTTCATCTGTTAATTTAAAACGTGCTTATAATAATCTGTTGTACCAGGAGAATAGTAAAAAGATAAACTTTGTGCGAATTGAAGATTTTTCACAAAAGTCACTGTATCAGGAGTGCAATAATGCGTACCTGGATTCCCAAGTACATCCTCGTTACATTCATTCCTTGAAATTTAACAGGTGTTTTGAATAATCTGTTGTGCCAGGAGAACAGAAAAGAGAGATGAAATTCTTTAGCTGTAAATGTAGCGTAAATAGAACCTAAAGTATCCTAGAAATCTAAAACGTGCCTACAATAATCTGTTGTATCAGGAGCACATGAGAGAACGGAGCTTTCTGAAAATCTACCACAAAAGTTACTATATCAGGAGCACAGAAGTGCCCTCTTTCAGAGAAGCTGGAAAGTGTTGCAGGCTGATTTTGAAGTACGTTCTCGCGATGCATTTGCCCTTAAAATACACAATTGTATCAAGAGCGCAGAATAGAATCCTTCAAGTTTGTAACCTATTGGTCTCTTTAGCAAGAGAAAGACGCGTTGATTAGAAACCGGCGCACCCGCATCATGTGGTTTATAGAGCTCAGAATCTTCTATGAGGCTGTACATATCGGGAGCACAGAAGTGCAACCCTTTATTTTTAATATAGTTCTTCAAAATCTGGTGTATTCAGTAGCCTCTACAGATCGTGACGACACGAAGCGGAGTGATTTGAATGTAAATAAGAGATTCTTTGTTACACAGATCGTTCGACGTACAGAAAAAAAAGGTTCGAAACCTCTAGACTCCCCCCCTTCTTACCCTTCGATAGATCTAAGCATGCATTTCGAAAATATAATTACAAAGTAGGCGGAAACGTGCACGAAACGATTACGGTATACTCGTTTCTGTTAAGGTTGTTATTATGTGGTGGCAACCCTGCGAGCATTGAGCACATCCCGCCGCGCTACCGTAAAACCTCACTCGCTCACGAAGAGGATACGAAATTACACTTAACTTCACCTGAATATGATTAATCTCCCTCTTTATTAAATCAGCTCGTCCGTGGTAAATTTGATCGAAAAATTCTTGCGCGACGGCGGCGGCGCCCCTAACCTTGAGCAGTAAA